GGATCGCACAGGCGCTGTATGCGTCCTGCGCATGCGTGGAAGCGCAGAATTCATCAAAACCGGGTAATGAGCGGGTGCGGGCGCGCGGGCGCAGGCGCGGGGGGGGACCTTCGCTGTTCCCGGAAGTTACTTACTTCCGGGTTCGGTGACCAACCGGTTCGCAGGGACCGCCGTGAACCGGTTGAAACCCACCCCTGATGCAGTGGAATTTCTGATCTGTTCTTTGGACACTATGAGGGATTGGATAGGAATAAACAGGCTCAGATTCAATCTGAGCAAGACAGAATGGTTGAGAATTCACAACCCGAGTGATTCCAACTCCACCGAGTGATAAAACTTAGTGTGATTCTGTATGGGGTTGCACTTTCTCTGAAAGGCATGTATTGGACTCACAGCTCTTGTTGAAAGAAGCTATGGAAACCATAACTAAGAACCTATTTGCCATCTCTATAGACACACCGATGCTTAGCTGTCACCAATGCTCTTTTCAGCCCTCAATTGGAGTATTATAATTTACTCTACATGGAGTTTCTCATGAAGACCATCTGGAAATGTCAGCTGGTGCAGAATGCAATTGTTTTTCTCTTAATGAGTCAGGCCTACTTTTATTATATTATACTTCTGCCAGTTTGTATGTTACTCAATTCCAGAGATAAATTTTAAAAAGCTCATTTGCTATCCACAGTCAAACATAAAAACTAGTAGCCAAAGAAAAGGTTTGATAATCCAAAACTTATAGACCATTTTTGCAAAACAATAATTTTTAAAGCCGCAAATAATCTCTGCAGTCCTTTAAACAACTTGTAAAATATTAGCATGATTGTCACCATTTTGAATCCCATGCTACTGAGATGTATGATACTAGTAAACAAAGTATAGAATGTTTATAAAACTGGGGATCTTGTGCTGGACAGATCCACGTGGTGATCAAATTGGTAAAGATCAAAGAAAAATTAAATGGAAGATGTTGTATGTTATATAGCAGTTTATTATTAATTTTCTTTCTATCTTTTTATCTCTTCTCTGTAAAAAGACCAAAATTCAATAGTGATATATCCAGTTAAAATTAAAGACACTTTTATTTGAATTTCTGCAAACCTTTCTAACTGTATGATTCTATGAACATATACATATACATATATACATATATGTATATACATATACATACATATACACATACACATACATATACATATACACGCATACAATATTAGTACCATCAACAAGCCATGCTAAATTCCCTAAATCAGGGGTAACCAACCTTTCGGACCTCAGGGATCACTAAATTCATAATTTTAAATCCCATCAACCACTAATATAATCTGCCTAATGACAGGCTGGGTGGGCGTGGCTAAGTGGTCATGTGACTGGATGGGCATGGCCCACTCAATGTCACTCATGTCACCTTGATGGCCTCTACTTGCCCCCCCTCTCCCAGCCACTCCTCGCCTCACCTCCACATCTGGGGTTTTAAGGCCCCCACAGGAAGCAGTTGTTGGAACTAAGCAGCCACCATGAGAAAGAGTTGGCAAAACAGATGGCTCAGTTCAAATTAGATCTGACCGAGAAGGAAGCTCAGCAGAAGCACCTCACTGAGGACTACGAGCATAGGCTTTCCAAGCAGAGGGAAGACCTGTGGGAGTGCAAGGCCAGGTACCGTCATCTGGAGCCTCAATGAGCTGAGATGGTCAGCCACTTCCAGGCCATGATGCAGTTCCACTGGAACAAGGCCTTCCGGCTCTTCACCACCAGCAGCATTTCCCTCCAGCGTTTGCCCAAAACCCAGCACCAGGAGGACAAAGCAGACACTAAGTCGGAATTACTTCCCCCCTCCAACCTGCACAAAAAGACCCCAAAGGCTCTCTGCAGCAACACAAATGTTCATTGCACGTATCCGGCCCAGGGCCTGTAGTTTGAGGACCCCTGATTTAGTGCAATATAAAAAATGCAAATAATTTTTCTGCAGACCACCAAAATGTTGTTATGGACCACCAGTTGGTGACCGCTGCCCTAAACTATTCCTAAATTAGAAAGAGTTGAGTCATATGTGTCTCCGTTTTTTGTGATCAAGAACACACACACACACACACATATACACACACACACCTATCACTAATTAACAGTTGGATGACATATCAGGAAAAGAACTCTGAATGGAGCAGTGATTGGCTTTATATTCCCAATAGTATACAAATGTACAGATAATAATATAGAATTTATGAACTTAATCATATCCTAATTTATAGAGTATATTGGCCAATTTCCCCCCCAAAATTAGAACAATTATTGCTCAGGCCTACAGAAAGATTTCTGATGGAAAGACAGACAGACATTTCTGATGAGAGTCATATTCTACCCTTCCAATAAATTTGCATAATTCAAGGTAATAAATCAAAGTCTTAGCTGAAAACAATAAAGCAAAGACAGCAGTGCTGGGATTCAAATAACTTAACAACCTTTTTTTGCCCTAATGACCAGCTGGGTAGGTCTGGCCTGGTGGTCATGTGACCGTGTGGGCATGGCTAACTCAATGTCACTCAGGTTCGCCTTAGCTGTTACAATATAATAAGGGTTAACGAGAGACGCAGTTTCTGTAAGCAGGGCAATAAAGATTAGGCTAGAAACACCACCAGAATGTTTCCTTCCTGCCTTCTTTACAGGATTAGCCCTGTTAAGTGAAAAAAACAACAAAAGGAGATTTCTTCCAACAGCCGGTTCACTGAACTGCTTAGAAAGTTAACAGCCGGTTCTCCCAGATAAGTGTGAACCGGCTGAATCCCACCACTGAAAGACAGACACAGTTTGCTGTATAAATATCTACTGTATTGTGCATGTACACATAAGAGCTTTAGTTGCTTTCGGGGGGCTTCCTGGGCGGGACTNAGGGCATAAAACCAGGGACTCAGCATCTCAGTCCTTCTCTTTTCTCCACCAACATTGAAGCATGGAATCACCTTTTTTGTTCAGGACTCAAGCCATGGGATCCTGTCCACCAATAAACCATCTTTCCAAGCAGTCTCCATGTCTCCAGTGTCTTTTTCCCCACTTGGAGCCGAACCCAGGACATTTCTTTTAACATGAGAAAAGCAGTATTTAATTCTTTGTCTAAGGCAACACCTCCACTCCCCCACAACCCCCCTTCTGCAGCGATATTTATATAAGAACAGTTTAGTCTCAAGGCAACCGCCCCTCTCAACCCCCTCCTCAGAGAGAGACAGGAAGGAGCAAAGCTGCTTAATTGTGTTTTAAGGCAAAAAGATGTTTTATCAGAATTCATATTCCTCACTCATGTCCATTATATCCACACCTGGCTCCTATCTCCACATATGACCCTTCCTCTGATTCCCAGGGCCTCATCTGTACATACATTCCATCATCTGATCCTTCATATACAGGGGAGGAGATAATTTTACAGCGGTCTCATGCCAGCCTGAAGTAAATCTGTGTACCTCAATCTAATATGCTCAATTCTGCTTGTTCAGAAACTAGATTTACCTAACTGCACCACTAGCCATACTAATTTACAGGCATGTATTTGAACTTGCACAACGGAGCCTCTTGTCTCTTGAGTAATGTTTATGGAGGAGTTTATTTACTGACTTAGGAAGCTCAGCTTCTGATACATTTAAACTGCAGCTTGAACCTTATTAATTGCGTCGGGGGGGGGGGCGACGCGACAAGGAAGCCAACGGGAGGATGGTCCATCACTTACGCTCTATGCAGCCTTACTACTACTCTATGGTAGAGCCGGCCTTCGTTGCTAATGGCAGAAGATTTGTTTACTTCCGGGCTCGGGGCGGCTTGCGGATCCATCGACCAGCCCGCCCCCGCCCCCTCCCCCCTCCTGCCCGTCATGGGGGAAGATGAGGAGCAGGTACCTGGTGAGTCCTATCCTCACCTCGGGAAGTTAGCTGATTGGTGCCGGCAGCCCCCTTTCGTTTCTGGCCCCGTCTGCGGGCTTTGCCGAGCAAGCCAGCGCGGGTGCCTCATCGCTTGCTAATCTCTTCTCCGCTCCCGTTGTTCCTCTGCTTGCTGCTCAGCCCTGTTGTAATGGGACCTCATTTCCTCGGAAGGCGCCCTTGAAGGTTTTAGTTCGTGAGCCCGCCGCTGCAAAGGGCGGAGGCGGGGTGCATTTCAGTCATGGCTTTTGTCTTCTTACAATATGGGAACCGTTCTCGGTCTTCTGAGTATATCTCCTTTTTCAGCTTGCGGAGTAAAAGCATAAAGTTTAGCCTGCACTCTACCTTAAATAACCTTAATTTTCATAGGTTGCTGACTTTGCGGAATATATAACTGAACGGATGAAGGAGGGCTTGAGGCTTCAAGTTTTTAGTTAGAATTGTTGTAAGGCAATTTGATTTGCTTCTTTCTAAAAATTTGGAGAAGTTCTAGCATAAGGCCTTTCATGATTGTTGAACTACAGGATACATACTGTATGTACTTTGTAATATATGTGTTGAAAATAATGTAGAAAAGGGTTGTGAATACAATAGGATACTCTTACCTTTTTCTTCTTTTTTGAAGAATTAATTTGGTGTGCTCTGGAAATTTTGGGAAGTTACTATACTTCTTAGTGTGAGCACAGCATCTTCTGGTTATGTTTCTATTGTATCCTTATTAAATAATGAACCAGTAATTTTTTATACCGCCAATAGAAGAGGTATAAAAGAGGTAGAAGATATTGGTAGGGAGAATGCATCTCTGTAAAAGACTAAGGAAAAACAGGCCACTTCGTTCAGTGCTGTTTTGTGTATGGCAACTTTAATGATCAGTTATATTGTATTTTCATCCTACTTGTATGCTAAATGTAAAGGGGAAACATACATCAACCAGCCAGTACTTTATGTGATACCATTTGATAGTTATTGGGGTATAAGTAATAGTTAATTATGGAATAAATGTCTCTATCTATAAGGGCAAAATTAAGACTTTGAAAAAGTGCCATTATTTTGAGATTAAGTGGCAAAATTAGTTGTTAGTAGAAATATATAAAATTGATTTCAGACTAATATTTAAGTATTTTCTTTTTAGAATCAGGTGCTATATTCACATTTGGGAAAAGCAAATTTGCAGAAAATGTACCTAGCAAGTTTTGGTTTAAAAATGACAAGCCTTTACACATATCATGTGGAGATGAACATACATCTGTTGTTACAGGTTAGTATAACAAGGTTTTAGAACCATATGTTTCGATGTTCTTATTTTTTAAAGTGAAGACTGTATTGTGTTGATAGTATTATATGAAGGCATTTACTAATATTTTCAGAAATTGACACTTTTATTGTAAAATGAACTAGATAAAATAGGCTTTCCTAATCATCCAGTTCTAAAGTTAACCTTGACTAACCAAATTGTATTAGACAAAAAAGTTACTATAACCCTCAGTTGTATAAACAGAGACATAGAATCAAAATCATGTGAAGTATTAGCACCTCTTTATAAAACCTTAGTAAAGCCACACCTGAATACTGCATTCAGTTTGGTCACCACATTACAAAAAAGATGTTGAGATTTTGGGGAAAAGTGCAAAGAAGAACAACTAAGATGATTAAAGGTGTGGAAACTAAAACATGTGAAGAACAGTTGTGGGATTTGGGTTTGGCTAATCTAGAGAAAAGAAGGACTAGCAGGGACATGATAGCAGTATTCCAGTATTTGAGAAGCAGCCACAAAGAGGAAGGGTCAATTTATTTTCCAAAGCAGCAGATGGAAGGACAAGAAACAATGGATGGATATTAATCAAGGAGAGAAGCAACCTGTAATTAAGAAGAAACTTCCTAATATGAGGACAATTAACCAGTGGAACAGCTTGCCTTCAGAACTTGTGGGCACTTCATTATTGGAGGTTTTTAAGAAGAGACCGGACATTTATGTGTCTGAAATGGTATAGGGTCTCCTCCTGAGCAGGGAGTGGACTAGAAGATTTCAAAGGTCCCTTCCAGCTGTTTTCTGATTGATTGATATTATATAACAAGAGAGTCAAATTGAGTAGCGCTTTAGATGCCTCTCTCCCTTGGGGTCTGTAAATATAATCAAAATACATATTAGATATGTTAAAAATGTTATAAATTCAAATTAGTTCAAACCTTTAAAAAGTCTTAAAGGTTTATTGAACAAATACAGGAAATCCTCAATTTACAATTGGTTGTTTATCAACCATTCAAAATTATGATAGCTCAGAAAGGCTGCTTTACAGATTGTAAAGCTCTTCTGTCTATCATATATGTGGTTGTAACAAGGNAGCAACTACCTTGGCTTTAATTATTTTTAAAAAATTCTTTACAATTCTTTCCTTTTCCTTATGACTGGTGAGGCCACGCCTCCCCTGCCTCTAGTGACTGCACGTCCCTGTTTAGCAGTAGCCAAGAATTATGACTTGATTCCCAAGTCATAACCTTTCTCCTTCAGATGAACTAGAGTCCTTCCAACACCTCATGTCCTTCATTGTTGACTAGTCTTGCCCACTCAAGAAAGACCAGACTCCTGCAACGTATTTTCCCCACCTTTCAACTCTCACAGATATTCTAGAAAGATACCACGATTAATGGTATCCAAGACCACCAAGAGTTTTATCTATCTTCCAAATATGGAAAAGAAGAAATGCATTCATCCAATCCATGGCCTGGTGAAGGTTAGCCATTAGAAGGACAAAGACAGTTATTATGCCATTCTAGGGTCTGAATTTGGATTGAAATAGGCAAAGTTAATACACTTCCTCTAAGGAGATCTGTAATTGGAGCCCTGTCATTCTCCATAGCCTCCCCTAAAACAGGAACACCAAGAAATAGTTGTCAAGATTTGCTGAATACAGACGGACCACTTCAAGACAACAGTCATAATTTTCATTCTAAAAAAGAATTTGTCAGCTCCCAGATCTAGCCCCTCATCATATCTACTCAAGCTTCCCAGGTGGGACATGGGTCAATCCCACAAATCACCTGACCTATTTTCTTGGGGTCCCCAAACCAAAATTAATTCCAAATACCCTTGAAAGGCACAACCAAAGTCTCCTATCTGACTTTACCCGTGTGAAATACATGCCATGGTTGTTTAATCTGACCTTGGACTAGTGACTCTCTCTTTCTCTCAGCCCTAGGAAGTAAGCATGGTGAATCATTTCTGAAAATCCAGCCAAGAAAATGCAGGTACTTTTCCAAGCAGATGCCGGGAGTCAAGTATGATTCAAGGGCATATATTCATGGGTAATATATAATGATTCAAATGTAGTTTGACTAAAATGGCACAAGTGAGCATAACTCTGGTGACTTCATAGGAACATTCATGTAGATTTCTTCTCAACAAAACAACTGTAAACAATTTGCAGTTGTTTTCTTTTGACATGTTTGGATTTTTTCCCTGACTTTCCAGTTTAGCCAATAACCCTTGTCTCTTTTGGTGGTCTCCCATCCACTTATCCGGGGAGCCGAGGTGGCGCAGTGGTTAGGGTGCAGTACTGCAGGCCACTTCAGCTGACTGCTATCTGCAGTTCAGCGGTTCAAATCTCACCGGCTCAAGGTTGACTCA